GTTCGGGAAGCCAGGAAAAACAAGAAAAACACCTTCAACAATAATCAAGGGCTTCAAGGTTTATTCTTTATTATCTTATCAGTTTATATCAAGCCACGTAGGGCCAATCCCACATTTACAATTTTCAAGTAACAGATAAACACGCGCAAATCATGCCGAGGTCGACGGCCCGCTCCAACAGAAATGTAAATTGTGCACTGCCGAGGGTCGAGCGGCACGAACCATAGATGCATCTATTCTCACCGAGGCGTTCGGCCCGTTCCATAAATAAACACATATCCTGCTCGCGAATCATCCATGCGACGCAGGCACACATAAAATACATGCTCAATCAGTCAAATAAGAACTTATCGGGGAATATTTATTCAAATAAAACCAATTCTCCTTTAACAATTTAAGAAATGAAGTTTAATCCTTTTAGAAATTTACTTACCAATTCGATGTGAGTTAAACAATTCGAGCTACCAATGGGTTCACAATTAATCCACGTGCAACATGTTTTTGGGTCCTAACTACCCGGACAATAGCATAATAGTAGCTACGCACGGACTCTCGTCACCTCGTGCGTACGTAGCCCCCACAAATAGGAGCACATAATCAATTACTTCACCTATGGGGTAAATTCCCCCTCACAAGATTAGAAAAGAGACTCACCTTGCTCCGAAGACTCATAACCGGCATTCTACATTCTTCCGAAGGCTTGAACCGACGCACAATGCACCAAAACTAGCCAATTAACGACAAACTAATGAGAACATGCTCAAATACTTGTTAGAAATTCAAATTATACAGATTCCCAACTCCGCTTAGTGAAATGTAACGACCCGGCCGGTCGTTTTTTGGACATTTCGCCCCGATCCCCCATTAACTATTTCCCCTAAGTTCATTTCTGCTATTTTGGTTTGCCGGGACGTTCGGTGTTGAGTTTTGGAGAGTTTTGGGACACTTAGTCCCTAAATGAGAGCTTAAGAGTTGAAAAATGGTCCGTAATCAGAACAGTGTGAAGACGACCTCGGAATGGAAATCCGATGGTTCCGTTAGCTGCGTTAGGTGATTTCGGGGTTGGGAGCGTGTTCGGAATGTATTTTGGAGGCTCGTAGCTCATTTAGGCTTGAAATGCCGAAGTTTGAATTTTTGAAGTTTACGGTCCGATAGTGAGTTTTTGATCCGAGGGTCGGATTGGAATTCCGGAAGTTGCAGTAGTTCCGTCATGTCATTTGGGATGTGTGTGCAAAATTTCAGGTCATTCGGACGAGGTTCGGGTAGGTTTTTGATCGAAAGCGTGTTTGGTTGGCATTTGAAGTTCTTAGGCTTGAATCTTTGATTAATTCGGGTTTCCAGCGTTGTTTAGGTGTTTCCAGGATTGGTACAAGTTTGAATAAGGTAGTAGGTGGTATTGGTACTTTTGGTTGAGGTCCCGGGGGGCCTCGGGATGATTTCGGGTGGTTAACGGAAGAGTTTTGGAAGTTGAGAAATAGCAGCACTGCTGCTTCTGGTATCTTTCCGCTTCTGCGGCTTGGGGACCGCAGAAGCGGAGCCGTAAAAGCGGCCTGGTCATCGCAGGAGCGGGTTTGGGCAGAGTTTTTCAGGTACCGCAGATGTGGAGGAAATTCCGCAGGAGCGGCCTCGCATCTGCGAGAAATAGAACCGCAGATGCGAAAACTTGGACTTTTATTAGAACCGCAGAAGCGGCTTAAATTACGCAGAGGCGGAACCGCATAAGCGGTTAATGGTCCGCAGAAGCGGACATTGGCTCTTTAGTGAGAGTCGCAGAAGCGACTCGTTTTCCGCATAAGCGGGACCGCAAAAGCGGTCCCTTGTCCGCAGAAGCGGAAATCCCTAGGCAGAAATAGAAATTTCGAGGGTTTGAGTTCATAAGTTACAAAAATCAATTGAGAGCTCGGTTTAAGGCGATTTTGAGTGGGATTTGAAGTGAAGATCACTGGATTTGAGCCATTTAGAGTCGGATACTCGTGGCAAGAGCGTGATTTCTAGTTGATATTGAGCCGGTTCGAGGTAAGTGGCTTGTCTAACTTTGTGTGGGGGACCTTTTTCCCTTAGAATATGATCTTGAATATTTGAATGCCCCGTACGTGAGGTGACGAGCGCGTACTTGAGCTAATTGTTGTAAATCCGTTTCTGCTTGAAGTATTTAAACTGAGCTTTCTTGTTTACTTGTTCATTTTAACTGCAAGTTTGTACCTGTGCTAGCTTAGAGACTCATGTTTAGCTGGCTTACCTGCTTATTTGCTTTAACTGTGTTATTTGTACTCTGTGAAGCATGTTAGGCTATAATTTACTACTTCGTGTCCTGGTTTTTAGCATTGTTCCGAGATTTAGGAATCGTTGTTGTTGTGTGTTTAATTTGGGATTACGGGACGGCTTCCCGGGAGATCCCTCTGTACTTGAGATATTCTGGACTGAGGGTGCGGGATACCAAGAGATCCCTGGCACATGTGTTTCTATATATATATATTGGGATACCAAGAGATCCCCGGTTTACTTATTGAGGATACCAAGAGATCCTCGGGATACTAAGAGATCCCCGACTTACTTATTGAGGATACTAAGAGATCCTCGGGATACCGAGAGATCCCCAGTGTTGATGATGAGGATACCAAGAGATCCTCGGGATACCAAGAGATCCCCCGGCTACTATTCCTTGTGAGGGCAGTTTTCCGTGTATTGTTACCTTTGCTTTCTATTACTGTTCTTCCTTATTTACCTAGTTTAGATTCTCGCTGTAGACTTTATTTAAACTATTTCTGTTATCTCATATTTATTATGTTATCTCAGTAGGGCCCTGACCTTCCTCGTAACTACCCAACCGAGGTTAGGCTTGGCACTTACTGAGTACCGCTGTGGTTTACTCATGCCCTTCCTGCGCATGTTTTTCATGTGCAGATCCAGGTACTTCCTCCCAGACGTATCATCCTCGTGGTGGAGAGTCCTAGCTGAGACTTGAGGTATATCTGCTACGTTCGCAGACCAGGAGTCTCTACTCTATTCCGGCTTTAGCAGATAGTTCCTTTTCTTTCCTTTCATATTGTTCAGACATTCTGGTGTAGAGCAGTTTACTACATTCTATTAGCCTGTGTTTCCCGTGAGTTTCCGGGTTTTGGGATTTAGTTGCAGACTTCCGCATATTTTGAGTTGTATAGGCTGGGTGGCCTTATATACAGTTGTTATTTCCGTATGTTCAGTTTTAAATTTATTATTCCACAAATGTTAATTGTTATTCCGCACTGTTAGGCTTACCTAGTTGTAGGAACTAGGTGCCATCACGACATGTTTCATGGAGGGTGAACTGGGGTCGTGACATGAAATGACCAAAATGCCCTCGGGCCTAGGTGCCCAAAATCCAAAATTTCTCGAAGACAAAGGTTACCCATGACCTCAGGAATTCAAATATATATTTTTATCCTAATTCCATACTCAAAATCGTGGCTGAATTCCAAGAATATCATTTTCTAGGTTTCCACCAAAAACCTCCATTTTTACACTAATTTTCATGCTTAAATCCATATATAATTGATGTATTTAACTCAAAAGTGATGGGGATGACTTACCTTTATATAGATGACGAATTTCCACTCTTTGGAGCTCCCCAAATCGCCCCAAGCCATGAACCAAATGAGAGAAATGACTCCATTCACGATTTTAAAACATGCCTACTGCTAGGGGTGTTCATAAAAACCCGAAAAGCCGAACCAAACCGAAAACCAAACCAAACCGACCAAAAAAATCGATACTTTTTGGTTTGGTTTGGTTTTGGTTTTGAATTTTAAAAATCGATCAAATTTGGTTTGATTTTGGTTTTAATAAAAAAATAACCGAACCAAACCAACTATAGGAGTAGCTATTTCAAATTAATTATTACACCTATATATATTTATATTTTTATATAAAGTTTCAAAAAATTTATGGTAAATGTTAATCGTTTGCACTTTTAGTACAGTTTTTTACCTTTATATTCTAGTTTGATTGGTAGTTTTCTTTTGTTAAGTGTAAGAATCCATTTCATGTTAAAAAAAAAATATTTTTAATTGAGTCCTTAAATTATTCATCACTATTTGATTCAATTACCATCAATATATTTTAGTAAATAATAGATTTCTCAAAGGGCAATTAATTTGATAGTGTTAGGTTGAAAATGTGGTCGCCGGAATATGTATTTGATAGTTACGTCTTATATTTAGGAAAAACCGACAAATAACCGAAAAAATCAAAAGCCAACAAAACCCGACATAAAAAACCGACTTAATTGGTTTGGTTTGGTTCTAATATTTAAAAAACCGACTTACTTGGTTTGGTTTCTTTTTAGGGGAAAACCGATCCAAACCGAATCATAAACACCCCTACCTACTGCCCAGCATTTTCGCTTCAGCGAAACCCTGTCCGTTTCCACGGTCCCGCTTCTGCGGACCGCTTGCCGCTTCTGCGGCTCCCATCCACTCCAGGCCTTCCGCTTCTGCGGTCAGCCTACCGCTTCTGCGGTTCTGCATCAGCGGATCAAGGGCCGCTTCTGCGATCCTGGCTGCCCTCGCCCTCGTCCGCTTCTGCGGCTTCTTCTTCGCTTCTGCGGTCCTATTTCCGCAGAAGCGGAAATACCATATACCAGATCCCTTCAGCTATTCTTCAACTTCCAAATTTGATCCGTTAGCCACCCGGAATCCACCCGAGACCCCCGGGACCCCAACCAATCATACCAACCAGTCCCAAAATACATTACGGACTTGCTCGAGGCCTCAAATCATAACAAACAACGCTAAAACCATGAATTACACTCCGATTCAAGCTTTATGAACTTTGAACTTTCCAACTTCTATTTCCGATGTTTAAACCTATCAAATCACGTCCGATTGACCTCAAATTTTGCACACTGAGTTTCTATTAGCCAATACTTTAACACTTACTAATTGAGAAGACTACTGGAAGCAACAGATACGAGATACAAAATTAGGCTACCCAAGCTAGATGAAATAATATTGTTATCCTCGAACACGACCACATGAATGAACGGGGAGAGTAAGTCAAATAAAAAATAGCACCTTCAAAATTCTAGAGAAAAGGAAAATAGCTCGCCTTCAACACACATTCAACACCTTCAACATACAGGCAAGCTACTTTTTATAAGTAGCTGGAGAAGTAAAAGGCAAACGTACACTGTTAAATTCAACCTTTCTCAAAGTGAACAAATAACTAGATTATACCTATTTTCAGATTCAAACAGTAACATCAAAAATAAGAATCTCATTTCCAGAAAAATAAAATGACGAGAATTTTTCGAAAGAAAATAAGACACATACCTTGAAGAATCTCAAAAATTCAAAAATGAAATGTCTGAAAGAAGTAAAAAAAATTAGATGAGCCTGGGTATTCTCAGACAAAAATAATAAACAAAAAATTATAATGAACAATTCCAGATTACAGAGATAGATACCTCCGACGGTATAGTTGTACTCTCAAATCTGTTAAACGCCGCAAAATCTGGCCGGAAAAATACAATCAGAAGAATAGAAAAAGGGATTGCACTATCAAATGACTACAGTTTTTGGTAAAATTAAGACATACAGTTAGGGTTTGAAGCTCTAGAAAAATCTGATCCAGAAAACGTTTTTGCCTAATCTCTTCGCTGCTCCGTTTTGACGAATTTACTCCGATTGAAAACAAACACAATGTTAGTATCCATATTTTACTGAGAAAGAAAAAAACAAAATCGATCGTCGACCTAAGAGAAATCAAATCTCTGCCGCTTTGCATTCCGAGGAGCTATCAGTTGGTCAGCGCGCGATATTTCCGGTATATCCCCGCTGTTAAGGCATCGAAGGCGTGGAGGGGAGTCCCAACTAGCTGGGTTAAGGTGTATTAGGAGAGAGAGACAGCTGTAGCAAACTAGGGTATTTGAGAATCCTTGAAGGAGAAACTTCCCAAAACCTTCAAATTTCTATCTTTAGCCAAATGGCTTCAAAATGACCTACGGACCTCCGAATTCACTTCCGATCGCGCCCTCAACTCCAGAATCACCATACAAAACTACTCCCAATCTCGGAATTTCAAACGGACATCGATAACTCTAAAATGCACTTCAAACCAAACTTATGAAATTCCTTCTAAAATGCTAACTTCCACAATAGGCGCCAAAACGCTCCCAGGTTATCCAAAACCCGACCCGGGCATACGCCTAAGTCCAAAATCATCATACGAACCTGTTGGAACCTTCAGATCCTGATTCCGAGGTCGTTTACTCAAAAATCCATTCCTAGTTCATTCTCCCAACTTTAAGCTTCCGAAATAAGAATTCTCTTCCCAAATCAACTCTTGACTTTCCGAAACTTAATTCCGACCACGCGTACAAGTCATAATACCTGAAATGAAGTTGTTCATGGCCTCCGACTGCTGAACGGAACGCTAGGACTCAAAACGACCGGTCGGGTCGTTACAATGAGTCAACAGTTAGCAATTTGTAGCAGAAAAGCAAAAATCAGTGATGAAGTTATGGGCTTCAACTTTTTTCATGATTCTACCTCACAAATCTGAAACAATGCATAAGAACTTCTTGATACTCAAAACAGAATGTAAAATAAGTCCAACACATTAAACACATACCTCAAGTGAAATCCTGGCCTTAGCTATGGCTTCACCACTGAAAGATATCATTACGTAATGTAAAAGCAAATATACATAAATTTGCAACAGAAGTTACAGTTTGATTATTGGACTTGCACTTACCATTAATCTAAGAAATAGGTAGTTGTGCAATCATTTTAGTGGATCATGTATTTGAAAACTGATGCAACAGCAGAATGCTTTTACATTTACTTTATACACTCACGTCTAGAGGAACCATTACTATGAACAGAGTTAAGGTGTATTTGGGAAATTTTTGGAAATAGGAGGGAGAAATTATCGCGTCTGTTTTTGGAGCCAAAAAGAAAGAAATTTTAGGCAACAAAACCAAACAAGTTAGTTGAGAAAATTAAATTTCTTTAATAACAAAAATATTTTTTGCATCAATAAAATTGCTAAAATCTCTATATTAGATAAGTGCAACAATACTTTAATTGGTATGATGAAAATAACGAAAATCCAAGTGCTTAGTTTTGTTAGTATTATTTACATCCTTTCAAAATTTAAATTATCTCAAATAAAATGACAAAACAAAAATTATGTGTATTTAATTATAAAACTTAAATATCTAAGTGCTACTACTTCCCTATTCTTTATAATTGTCAAAATATATATAGATAGATGTATATATAGTATAGTATAAGGCAGAATACATAACTGGATCCTTAAACTTGGCTTTTTTTGTCACTTGGACACCTAAACATAGAGTTGTTCCTATCACGCCCTTCAACTAAACCACATCTGTGCCAATTAGACATTTTATAGTGACATGATTAAGTGCGTGGGGAAGGGCGCGTGAACATGAGAAAAAGATTATTGATTATTATTATTATTATTATTATTATTATTATTATTATTATTATTATTATTATTATTATATTCTAATATATTATTCCAATTAAAGCTAACTTTTATCCTACATTCTATTTCTCTTCCTCCCGTGAACCTATGATTTTTCCTCTTAATCTTTTTTAAAAGAAAATTTAGTGTACATGGATTTGATTATTTTCATTTGGCATGCTTGTTCTCTTTAAACGGCACTTGTAAGCTACACCAACTTCGAAGTGGAATAGAGAGAATAGAGTGATATTTCAGTGAAATTGAAACAAGATGAAGTTTAACGGGGGAAATTTCCAGTGAGCTTTTTAGGGCACTAATTCGCCAGAGCCGACGGTCAGGTTTTCCATTTTCTGAAAATGAGATTCAATTTATTTTGGGGGTTAATTCTATAAGGTGGAATATTTTAAGGTGTTAGAGGCAACTGTAATACACACGTTTATTTTTTATAATAGTTTTTCTCAGATAGTCTGCAAAGTGTCTAATTAGTTGAAGGGCCTGATAGGAACAACTCTATGTTTAAATGTCCAAGTGACAAAAAAGGCCAAGTTTAAGTGTGCAGTCATGTATTCTGCCATAGTATAATATATATACTAAGTGTATAGTATATAAGCTATATTTATTATTTACACACATACACACAAATATTAATATATCAAATTAACAATTAATTAAATTCTAGCTAACAAATTACTATAAATCAATGAAAATCAAACTAATATTTTACAAAAACCTAGCATATAATTCTTCTTATTGTATAATTTATGTGTAATTATTCTAATATTACTTAAGGATATCACTAATACACTTATACTTAGTGTAGTTATTATTTTATAAACTAATCAATGAGCAATATTTCTTAAGAATACTACTAATACACTTCTACTTAGTAGAATTTTCAGTGTATAGACTAATCAATCACTAATTTTTCTTACTGGTATTACTAATACACTTATACTTAGTGTAATTCTCAATGTATAAGCTAATCAATCAGTAATAGTTCTTAAGAATATTATTAATACACTTCTAATTAATTAGTCTAATTATTAATACATTGGCTAATCAATCATTAATATTACTTAGGGATATCACTAATACGCATCTACTTTCTGTAATTATCCATTTATAAGCTAATCAATCGCTAATATTTCTTACTGATATCACTAATACACTTCTGCTTAGCGTAATTCTCAGGTATAAGCTAATCAATTAGTAATAGTTCTTAAGACTACTATTGATAAACTATTTTAGCTAATCAGTGTAATTACTAATAGATAATCTAATCAGTCATTAAATATTACTTAAGCATACCACTTATATGCATCTGCTTTATGCCATTATCAATTTATAAGTTAATCAATCGCTAACATTTCTTACTAATATTACTAATACACTCATACTTAGTGTAATTCTTAATGCATAAGCTAATGAATCAGCAATAGAGTTTAAGACTATACTAATACATACTTAATTAGTATAGTTATCAATGTATAGGCTAATGAATCACTAACGTTACTTCAGGACACCACTAATATTACTTAACGATACCACTAATAAACCTGCACTTACTTTAATTATCAAACTAAAGATAAACAATCACAAATATTTATCACAAATGCCATTAATACACGTCCATTTAGTGTATAATTATCAATGTATCGGGTAATCAATCACTAACGTTACTTATAAAAGGATACCACTGGTTCACTAATTGTTAAAGTTACTTAAGGACACCGTTAATACATTTCTACTTACAGTAATTATCAATTTATAAAATAAACCGTCATTAATATTTTTTTACGGAAACGACTAATACACTTCTTCTTAGTGTGTAATTATTAATGTGTCGGTTAATATATGTAGTTAAGGATACTACAAATTCACTTTTAGTTTGTGTAATTATAAATTATGAAGCTAATTACCACTAATATATTTTTAAGTAGTGTATTACCTCCACTTAGTGTAAATTTCAATAAATAGGCTAATCAACCACTAAGATAATTAAGTAAATACTTACCGAGGGACTTACTGACAACCTCCTTCAGTGTTGTGTAATAAAAAATACAAAATAATTATCTATAAGATTATATATTTAAATTACCTACGGAAGTCCATCGGTACTGTAAGAACAAAATTCAACTAATTTTTCTTACTGGTATTACTAATACACTTCTACTTAGTATAATTCTCAATGTATAAGCTACTCAATCAGTAATAGTTCTTAAGAATATTATTAATACACTTCTAATTAATTAGTCTAATTATTAATACATTGGCTAATCAATCATTAATATTACTTAGGGATATCACTAATACGCATCTACTTTCTGTAATTATCCATTTATAAGCTAATCAATCGCTAACATTTCTTACTGATATCACTAATACACTTCTGCTTAGTGTAATTCTCAGGTATAAGCTAATCAATTAGTAATAGTTCTTAAGACTACTATTGATAAACTATTTTAGCTAATCAGTGATTACTAATAGATAATCTAATCAATCATTAAATATTACTTAAGCATACCACTTATATGCATCTGCTTTATGTCATTATCAATTAATAAGTTAATCAATCGCTAACATTTCTTACTAATATTACTAATACACTCATACTTAGTGTAATTCTTAATGCATAAGCTAATGAATCAGCAATAGAGTTTAAGACTATACTAATACATACTTAATTAGTATAGTTATCAATGTATAGGCTAATGAATCACTAACGTTACTTCAGGATACCACTAATATTACTTAACGATACCACTAATAAACCTGCACTTACAATGTAGTGCTCAGCCCAAACAACAGTGAAAATATCATTTAAGTCTCAAAGTTCAGTTAAAGCGGCTGAGTTTGTAAAACAGTATAATCAACAGGACAGAGTTGAAGTAGTATATAAAAAATAGTGAGGAAACAGTGATAAAAATCGCCGAAGGGTTCAGATAATTGGCACGAAGCCCAAATATGGCAATGTGACGATCCGACCCGTCATCTCATGAGTTACCGCTCTGTTTCCCCCATTTTATGCTTCTTCATGTTTCGTTATCGGTATTTGGTGTGTTAGAGTTGATTTGGATTGGTTTTGATAAGAAATGAGACACTTAGTCTCTTTAAGGAAGGCTTAAGTTGGAAAAAGTCAACCGGACGTTGACTTATGAGTTAGAGGGCTCGAGGTGATTTTCGGTGATTCGGTTAGCTTTGGGAGGAGATTTGTGACTTAGGAGTGTGATCGGAATTGATTTTGGAGGTCCGGTGTAGAATTAGGCTTGAATTGGCGAAGTTAGTATTTTGGCGAATTCCGGTTGATAGGTGAGATTTGATCCGAGGGTCGGAATGGAATTCCGAGAGTTGCTGTAGCTTCGTTATGTCATTTTGGACTTGTCTGCAAAATTTCATGTCATTCGGACGTGGTTTGGTTGGGTTTTTGATCAAAAATG